GGTTTAGGAAAGAGTGTTTGGGGTATTGAGAGGGGGGACAACAACAGCAAGGGTGTGTTTTGGGAAGTGTAATGGAAGAGGGGAGGTGGGGAAAGAGGATCAAAAAGTTATAATATATACATCTACGCTTAGAACCACACCTCCCAGGTTTCACACCCTGCCCCGTAGTTCATTTGTTGTGTTTAATTAGGTAGGGAAAAATCAACCCTAGAGATGTAAATACCTAACAAATGTTTCTCCCGGATAGGCGGTACGGCGCAAGACCATATTGTACGATTTTAACTTATGGGTGGAACCGCGACGGACGCAGGGTTGGGGGCTGGGGCGGCCCTTTCAGCAACGATTTAGGATTAGTTCAAAATTGTCTGTACTCATTTTGTGGCTATTCATTTACGACGATAACTCATATATTGATTCTAGCGAGGGGAAGATGGCTTGATGATTATGCGTCCAGTTTTTGGAGCGGTTTGGTGCGGGTTTAACATCACATGGGTTTGTTCGGGTTGCAATTTGGGGGGAAGGGGGAACGAAGGGCCGTGGAAATGATTGGGCTAGTTTTAATGAGTAGAGGGGGTTCTGATAGAGTGTTGGCAAAGGTGTGTGTTGGGGGAGTTGGGGGTAGGGGGTGCATAGCGGGTGTGGTTGTATGTTATTGTCATTTTGGGGTTTATAACAGTGGTTGGGGGGGGGAGGTGGTATGGTTGGTGGTGCGGCGTTTCTAAGGGCGGGAGGGGGCACGTGGTACGTGGGTGGATGGGTTGACACAGCACTTGTTATTGGTGGGGGAGAGGGGTGGGTTAGACACAGTTGTGCATCTTCTAAGGGTTACACGGCGCGTTGGCGCCGGTGTGGAGGGGTGGGTTGGGTTGGTGCCAACATCAGCGTGATATTCCCACCCCATGAGTAGTGGTTTTACTTTTTGCTATTTAGCTTGGTCGTATGCTGGTGGTCCCATGAGAGTGGGTTTTGTGTGATCTGAGTTGTTGTTTTTTTCCATTTGCTTTTTTTTTCTCTTTGTTTCCACTGCTTTACCCCCACTGACCCCGCTCTTTGTTCATAGGTGTGTTTATTCCGTAATCATGCCTTCACGCACCACACCTCTCCCCCCCACTGCTCGCAATCATGTTGCTTCGGGCACTTCGTAAAAAGAGGGGTTGGACAGGTATGGTAGAGCTACCTGTAGATGTAGAGACGCTGCAGTAAACTCTAGTCTCACCCTCAATCCTGTCCCTTCGACTGCCTTACACTCGAATCCAGAGTCTACGCTACGCACTCAGGCCCATCCTCTCCCCCTTACGGGCACATTTTTTCTATCTCACTTTATCCTGGATTTACCGTAACCCCTCGAACAAGCGCATATGACTTCTGTGCTGGATAGGCGCGCAGAAATATGGCAGGATGTTTGCCAAGTATTTGGACAGAGGGTGGTAAGTTACTAAATGCTGGTTAAGATGTTTTTATGAGGATAGTGAGGCTCCAGGTTAGGGTGTGGTAGCAAGAGAGGGAGATTACTTACCGGTTAAAGTAGGTCTTAGACAGGGATGTGTAATGTCCCATAGTTGTTTAATATATTTATAGTTGGGGTTGTAAAAGAAGTAAATGCTAGGTTGTTCGGGGAGGGGATGGGATTAAATTATGGGCAATCAAATACATAAATGGGAAGTGGGACACAGTGACTTTTGCTGATATACTGTGCTTAAGGAAAATTCTAAAGAAAAATTGCAAAGGTTAGTGGAAGAATTTGGAGAGTGTGTGTAAAGGTAGAACTGTTGAAAGTGAACATAGAAAAAGATTAAGGTGTGATGAGGTATGAAAATTGATTTAGATAAAGAAAAATTGGATATTCAAATTGGGAGGTGGAGGAGTATGGAAGAAGTGACGTTTTCAGATACATGGGGAGTTGACATGTCAGCGGATGGATTTTAGAAGGATGAGGTTAATCATAGAATTGATGAAGGAAAAAAGGTTAGTGGCTTGCACTGAGGTATATGGGAGGCAAAATGTTATTATGGAGGCAAAGATAGGGAAAGTATGAAAAGTTATAGTAGTCCAACACCAACTATGGGTTGTAGAAGCTTGGTTGTAAATGCTGCATGTACAGCAAGGAGGCGGGTGGAGTCAGTGGAGATTGTCCTGTCTAAGGGCAATGTGTGGTGTAAATATTATGCAGAAAATTCGGAGTGTGGAATTAGGAGAGGTTGGAGTTAATAATGTATTAGTCAGGAGGGCGGCTTGAAGAGGGGTTGTTGGGTGGTTTGGTCATTAGAGAGAAATGGATCACAGGAGCAATGACATGGAGGAGCGTTTATAAATCTGTAATGATGGAAGGCGGGGGTATAGGGTCGTCCTCGAAAGGTTGGTGGGAGGGGTTAAGGAGGGTGTTGTGGGCGAGGGGCTGGGAACTTCCAGCAACAGTGCGGAGCGTGTTAAATAGGAGTGAATGGAAGACGAATGGTTTTGGGACCTGACGATATCTGGTGGAGTGTGAGCAGGGTAATATTTAGTGAAGGCATTAGGGAAACGGTTATTTTATATAACCGGACTTGTGTACTGGAAAATGGGAGGAAGTACAATGTTGTCTGCACTGTAAAGGCGGAGTTTGTGATATTGACAGTTTGGAGGGTATATAATTGTGTATCTTTTACGTATATACTTCTAAACTGTTGTGTCGAGGCACCTTGCTAAAACAGTGATTATGTGTGAGTGACATGTGAGGTGAAAGTGACTGAATGTTGACGAAAGTGGTCACCCTGCTCGGTGGGTCACCCTGCCTCCGGTGGGCCACCCTGCCTCGGTGGAGGTCACCCTGCCTCGGTGGTCACCTGCCTCGGTGGGTCACCCTGCCTCCGTGGTCCACCGGCCTCGGTGGGAGTAGGCCCGACTTGTTTATATATAATTTATATATATATATATATATTTATATATATATATTAATACTATAGATAAGATATATAATATTTATATATATTTATATATATATATATATATAATTTTATATATTCTCTATATATAATTATATATATATTTATTTAATGATATATATATATATTAATATTTTTATTATACTATATATATATATATTATATAATTAGATATTTTATATATATACATATATATATATATATATATATATATATATATTATATTATATATATAGATTTATAATATATATATATATATATATATATATTATATTTATTACTATATAATATATATATAATTACCATAACTATTTATATGTATTTTATAGGACAGAGACCCTGTCAAAGTCGAAGGGTATTAAATTTACGGTTCAACGAGATTTTGTTTGGTTAGCAAACGGACACTGTTGATCGGCACTGTTAGTGCTGGATCTTGCAACACGATGAAGTTTTCAACATCTGCAAACATACTGCATAATTGGCATCCGACGGAGATAGTTTATTCAGACGCGAAGTGTGTATGTGTATTCTTGTCTGGTGGTGTAGGTGACATTAATGACTCTCGTTGTAGTAGATAGATCTGAAACCAAATGAAGCCATCTTTTAGTGTATGTACAGAAATAGTGGAGTGAGGAGGAGAGAGAGCGAGGAGAGGAGAGAGAAGAGGAAGATGGTGAGTCGAATACGAGAGCAAGAAGAGAGAGGAGAGTGGAGAGGAAGACGTGAGAGAGAGAGGAGAGTGAGAGTGAGTGAGAGAAATGAAAACAACACAAGGGGGAGTTGAGTGATAGCTCTATGCCGTTCGTCGTGTTTGCAATCAAAGTATCAGGAGCTTGCCAATGGTGCAGGAAAGAGAAGAGATTCAAGGAAATACGAGCACAGGCTTCCTGGCCCCCGGGGTTACATGGAGTTACCTGAGGTTATTCGGGGATCAAGCCCCGCGGCACGGTCCATGACAGGCCTCCGATGGATCAGGGCCTGTCAACTCGGCTGTTATGCTGGCCGCACGCAGTCAAACGTACGAGCCACAGCCGGCTGATCGGCACTGACTTAGGTATCTTGTTCTTCTTCTCAACTCTTCTTGAAGGCAGCCAGGGGTTTATTGCAATTCCCCTAAAGTTGATGGGATGAGCAGTTGAACAGTTTTGTGCCCGGACACTTATGGTGTTTCTCTTAGTATATCAATGGGCCCCCTTTTTTTTATTGGGGCATTTGCATTCGCTGCCCAGTTTTTACTTTCGTAGGGATGGTGATTTCTAGTGTGACCGGATTTGGAGAAATCATGCCCAAAGATTTTCCAAATGTAGATTATGATTTATCTCTCCTCCTGCGTTCCAACGAGTACAGTCAAGTGCTTCCAAGCGTTCCAGTAGTTAAGGTGGCTTGACAGAACTTTAGACGTGCAGTAAGGATCTCTGTCACTCTCTAATCTGCGATTTCACCTGCTTTGAATGGGATGTTATGTACAGCAGTATTCCTGCTAGAGGAGAAACAAGTGATTTGAAAGAATCTCATGGGCTTGGCATCTCTCGTTTTGGAAAGTTCTATTTTCCATCCTTCAGTTTCTTTGCACGTGCGATCGTGGCACTGTTGTGATCTTGAAAGTGAGGATCCTCAGACATTACTTTTCCCAGGTCCCTTAAATTATTTTCTTCCGCTCTATTGTATGGCCGGAGTCAGTAGTATAACTTATGTTCTAAGTTTATCTCCTACTGTTTTCCATAACGGACGTAGTTGGGAATTTGTCCTCATTGAACATCATATTGTTTACCGTTGGCCCACTGAAAACTTTGTTTATATCTTCTTGGAGGTTTAACGCTTCCTCAGAGATGACGCTCATGAAGATCTAGTATCATCGCCAAGGATGATACGGTGCTGTGGTGTATATCTCTGTTTATGATGTTATGTGGATATGGAATAGATGGGGGCGAGTAATGTGATGTGGAACAGAGCTCTTCACTATGGAGCTCCGATTTAACTCTCGGCTCGCCACACTATCTCCCTCACTCTAGTGTTCGATTAGTTAGGAAGTTGATGATCCATCTCCCAATTTCCAGTTATTCTTTAGACGTATTTTAGGGTATTACGCATGATGGATTTGTCATATGCTTATGCAAAGTCTGTGTATATTACTTCTGCATTTGATTTTCCTTTCCAGTGCATCAAGGCCATGTCATAGTGATCCAGTAAGTTGTGAGAGGCAGGAGCGACCTGCCTGACCCATGTTGCCCTGGATATTTGTGCAGATTTTGGGAATCCAGGTGGATTTGCAATTGATTTCTTAGACTCTTTCTCAAGTCGAAAATTTTATGGATTGGGGGACGTCTGAAGCTATTGGTCTTTAGTTCTTAGCTAATGCTTTGACTGCAACCATTATGGAGTGGGGCTATATCGTTGTTTTAAGTGACTGTGGAATTTCACCCATGTCCAAGCTCCTCCTCCCTAGTGTACTTAGGGGCACGCGGAGAGGGGTTTCTTGCAGTTCTTAATGAAAACAGAGTTCCACGAGTCTGGGCCCGGGCTGAGTGCATTGGCATTGTTGTCAAGTACTGTTTCCGAATCTATCGGAGTTAGGGTAATGTAGGAAATCTGGATACATATATGGAGTTTGAGGCCTCATTCATGAAGTAATCATTTGGAGTCCGTCGTCGATCCTAGACCGATTAGTGGTTCACGAATCAAAGAGTGTTACTGGGATTTAAATATTTCACTCATTTACTTGTTGTCGTCTGTGTAAGTCCCATCCTGTCTGAGTAAGGCCCAATAATAGATGTGGTATTTGGCCTGGTTTTTGGCATATGAAAAGAATTATTTTGAAATTCTTTCAATTGCCCTAATAGCTTTAAGCTTCCTGCCTCTCCTGGTTTCCTGTAGAGTCATTGAGCTTAAGTCTCGTTTGTTTCAATTCTGGTCAGCGCCTCTTTCGTGTATCATCATATTCTAGCACCTCTGAGGAGGATCAGTGACTTTCGTCGTATTCGTAGAGGGAGCGTCTTTTTATTCCAGTTTATCTGCTTTCTTCTTTTCTTAGGGGAATATGCCTAGAACATGCTTCAGCTGCCAGGAAGTTGATCCTTTCAAGGCACTGGTTTGGATCCATGTCATTTAAGACATCTTCCCAACATGTTTCGTTTAGGACATGGTTTACCTGGTCCCAGTTGATGTTCGTGTCCATTATCTTCCTCCCACTTGCTATAAACTTAAATTTCCACGTTTTTTGACGGATATTTCATAAAACTGGAAGCAACGACCATGGTCTCGTATTTCCACTCCATGGTCTCGTATTTCCACTCCATGGTCTCGTATTTCCACTCCATGGTCTCGTATTTCCACTCCATGGTCTCGTATTTCCACTCCATGGTCTCGTATTTCCACTCCATGGTCTCGTATTTCCACTCCATGGTCTCGTATTTCCACTCCATGGTCTCGTATTTCCACTCCATGGTCTCGTATTTCCACTCCATGGTCTCGTATTTCCACTCCATGGTCTCGTATTTCCACTCCATGGTCTCGTATTTCCACTCTATGGTCTCGTATTTCCACTCCATGGTCTCGTATTTCCACTCCATGGTCTCGTATTTTCCACTCCATGGTCTCGTATTTCCACCCCATGGTCTCGTATTTTCCACTCCATGGCCTCGTATTTCCACTCCATGGTCTCGTATTTCCACTCCATGGTCTCGTATTTCCACTCCATGGTCTCGTATTTCCACTCCATGGTCTCGTATTTCCACTCCATGGTCTCGTATTTCCACTCCATGGTCTCGTATTTTCCACTCCATGGTCTCGTATTTCCACTCCATGGTCTCGTATTTCCACTCCATGGTCTCGTATTTCCACTCCATGGTCTCGTAATTCCACTCCATGGTCTCGTATTTCCACTCCATGGTCTCGTATTTCCACCCCATGGTCTCGTATTACCACTCCATGGCCTCGTATTTCCACTCCATGGTCTCGTATTTCCACTCCATGGTCTCGTATTTCCACTCCATGGTCTCGTATTTCCACTCCATGGTCTCGTATTTCCACTCAATGGTCCCGTATTTTCACTCCATGGTCTCGTATTTCCACTCCATGGTCTCGTATTTCCACTCCATGGTCTCGTATTTCCACTCCATGGTCTCGTATTTCCACTCCATGGTCTCGTATTTCCACTCCATGGTCTCGTATTTTTCCACTCCATGGTCTCGTATTTCCACTCCGTGGTCTCGTATTTCCACTCCATGGTCTCGTATTTCCACTCCATGGTCTCGTATTTCCACTCTATGGTCTCGTATTTCCACTCCATGGTCTCGTATTTCCACTCCATGGTCTCGTATTTCCACTCCATGGTCTCGTATTTCTCACTCCATGGTCTCGTATTTCCACTCCATGGTCTCGTATTTCCACTCATAGTCCACGTATTTCCACTCCAAGGTCTCGTATTATTCCACTCTATGGTCTCGTATTTCCACTCCATGGTCTCGTATTTCCACTCCATGGTCTCGTATTTCCACTCCATGGTCTCGTATTTCCACCCCATGGTCTCGTATTTCCACTCCATGGCCTCGTATTTCCACTCCATGGTCTCGTATTTCCACTCCATGGTCTCGTATTTCCACTCCATGGTCTCGTATTTCCACTCCATGGTCTCGTATTTCCACTCAACGGTCTCGTATTTTCACTCCATGGTCTCGTATTTCCACTCTATGGTCTCGTATTTCCACTCCATGGTCTCGTATTTCCACTCCATGGTCTCGTATTTCCACTCCATGGTCTCGTATTTCCACCCCATGGTCTCGTATTTCCACTCCATGGCCTCGTATTTCCACTCCATGGTCTCGTATTTCCACTCCATGGTCTCGTATTTCCACTCCATGGTCTCGTATTTCCACTCCATGGTCTCGTATTTCCACTCCATGGTCTCGTATTTCCACTCCATGGTCTCGTATTTCCACTCCACGGCCTCGTATTTCCACTCCATGGTCTCGTATTTCCACTCCATGGTCTCGTATTTCCACCCCATGGTCTCGTATTTCCACTCCATGGTCTCGTATTTCCACTCCATGGTCTCGTTTTTCCACTCCATGGTCTCGTATTTCCACCCCATGGTCTCGTATTTCCACTCCATGGCCTCGTATTTCCACTCCATGGTCTCGTATTTCCACTCCATGGTCTCGTATTTCCACTCCATGGTCTCGTATTTCCACTCCATGGCCTCGTATTTCCACTCCATGGTCTCGTATTTCCACTCCATGGTCTCGTATTTCCACTCCATGGCCTCGTATTTCCACCCCATGGTCTCGTATTTCCACTCCATGGCCTCGTATTTCCACCCCATGGTCTCGTATTTCCACTCCATGGCCTCGTATTTCCACTCCATGGTCTCGTATTTCCACTCTATGGTCTCGTATTTCCACTCCATGGTCTCGTATTTCCACTCCATGGTCTCGTATTTCCACTCCATGGTCTCGTATTTCCACCCCATGGTCTCGTATTTCCACTCCATGGCCTCGTATTTCCACTCCATGGTCTCGTATTTCCACTCCATGGTCTCGTATTTCCACTCCATGGTCTCGTATTTCCACTCCATGGTCTCGTATTTCCACTCCATGGCCTCGTATTTTCCACTCCATGGTCTCGTATTTTCCACTCCATGGTCTCGTATTTCCACTCCATGGCCTCGTATTTCCACCCCATGGTCTCGTATTTCCACTCCATGGCCTCGTATTTCCACCCCATGGTCTCGTATTTTCCACTCCATGGCCTCGTATTTCCACTCCATGGTCTCGTATTTTCCACTCCATGGTCTCGTATTTCCACTCCATGGTCTCGTATTTCCACCCCATGGTCTCGTATTTCCACTCCATGGCCTCGTATTTCCACTCCATGGTCTCGTATTTCCACTCCATGGTCTCGTATTTCCACTCCATGGTCTCGTATTTCCACTCCATGGCCTCGTATTTCCACTCCATGGTCTCGTATTTCCACTTTATGGTCTCGTATTTCCACTCCATGGCCTCGTATTTCCACTCCATGGTCTCGTATTTCCACTCTATGGTCTCGTATTTCCACTCCATGGTCTCGTATTTCCACTCTATGGTCTCGTATTTCCACTCCATGGCCTCGTATTTCCACTCCATGGTCTCGTATTTCCACTCCATGGTCTCGTATTTCCACTCCACGGCCTCGTATTTCCACTCCATGGTCTCGTATTTCCACTCCATGATCTCGTATTTCCACTTATCATAAACTGCTAATTTTGGTGATGATAATTACTCGGACTTATAAATATTCCAGCGAATCATTATATAATAATTCAATATGGAAATAAACTACCTCTTCCACTAATAATTATGATAGGCCATAATTGTCATTTATTCGTCAATTATATTAACATAACATACGAATGTAATTTATGGACCTCGACTTGCCACCAAATGTAATTTTCTTTTTAAGCAAAATTAAAAATAATTTGAAATTTTTTCCCCGTTGAAAAATTTCTCATAGGATTTTTCAGTTGTAATAATGTATATAAATATTTATATACTGATAATGTTGATCATCCTTAATCTACACTTTATTTTAAATAACTTAATTTATAAAATATATATATAATATATAAAATATATATATATATATATATATATATATTATATATATATATATATATAAAAATATATATATATTAATATTATATATATATATATATATTCAAAGTATATAAGGAAGTGGGGGGGGAGCCGAGACTCGACCCCACAGCCTCACACAGGTCAGTATAATTAGGTAAACACATGTACTCCATTAATCTATACATAAATACATGAACATACACACAGTGGAAAGTTAAAGCATCATTATCATCAACAACTTCAATATTAAACACATTGTGGGAACCAGAGTTCTGAAATATATTGCTAAATGTAATTTTGGTGAAGTTATGCAAATTAATTACATAAATTATATACATATATATATATATATAATATATATATATATATATATATATATATATATATATATATATATATATATATATATATATATATATATTTATAAGGGTTTTTTCGTTGCGTTGCCACTTATAATGTACTTATAAACGGGGTCTATTTTGAGTTTGAAATAGAAAGACATAAAAATAATATGTACACACACACACACACACACACAAAGAAGACCGCAGACGGAGTACAGTCTAGG